AAATCCAAGATAAATATTACACCAATTCTATGCAAGGTTTTAAAACCAAATCAAACAACGAATTGGTCAAGGGTTCGGTTCCCGGGTCGAACAGTCTGGCCGTTAGAATAGAATGGATGACCTGTTCTAACAAAAAATTAAAAAAAATAAAAAAATGGCCAAAACCATTGGACGATTCAAATGCCCAGGTCAGTGGTTTGCTGACCAAATCAACGGTTTTTGGCAAAATAACGATTCTAAGGTAAAATTGAACCAATCACTTGACCCGTTCCTGGTTTTTTGGCCTGACCATCCAGTCCGGTCCAATTTTAAAAACCATGATTCTATGCAACCTTATAATTCATTCATAACCTCAGGCTTAGACACGTAGAAATAAACGTGGGCTCAAGTGTATTCACATGAAGAAGCTTAGGGTCCATTTGGTTCATAAATTAAATTGGTTTTAGAATGGTCTATTCCTATGGTTTGTTAGGTTTGATAGGAATTGGAATCAACTAGGATGGGATTTCATTCCCAAGGGAAATGGTTATTCCCTTAGATGAAAATGAGAAAGGGTTGACAATTAAAAAATGACCCCAAAACGAAATTGTTCTAGCCACTGATTTTTGAGTCGACAATTTGATCGTCCAATTCAAACGAATGGCCCATTTTGACATAAAAAATTTTAAAATATAATTAAAATAAAAATGGCAAAAATCATTGAATGGGTCAATGGGTCGTTGACTGATTCAAAGGTTTTTGGCCAGGAACCAGGTTTGAGGTAAAATGGAACTGGCTGTCTAGACGGTTCTTGGGCCGAACAGTCTAATAGTCCGGGTCAATAGCAGTTCAAAAACCATGAATAAACTTAAAGCTTTTCTTTTATTTTTTAGGTTGAAAAAAATATAGAAAAGATAAGTAATGGAAATTAACACTCCCATCTTTTACTTTTTTTTTGTACATCACTTAAACCATCTACGTGTTACAACGTGGATGGAAGTACAGCCTGCATTTAAACATGTAGATGTGTAGCCCAGCCGAACTCCTTTGTGTTTCGTGATCTTGATTGGTTTAATCCCTTTTCGGCATCATAGCGATAATTTCTTAAATTACCCCTACTATTTAGCTAATTGTCAAGATGTACCCTTATTGTTTATAAATTGTCTTGAAGCACCCTTATTGTTTCTGAAAATTGTCACAAACTTCCCCTATCGTCAACTATCCATCATGGGTTGTTGACATGTGACATCACATGATGGGTATATTGTTAAAAAATTCTTGGATTACCCTTTATCGGTCTAAAATGCACCTTTTCGGTTTGGTCATGACCTTCCTCTTTGAGCCACTTGCATCATACAAATATCAACACGACAAGGACGAAGGTATTGTCTTCATTTTGTTTGGGTAATACGATCATCCTCTATGAGTGGAGGAAGGTATTGTCTTTGGTTTGTTTGGAGTCACGATCATCACCTATGTTATATTACAACCACGAGACAGTTCTAGTGTGGTTGGTAATAACCGGTGTAGCTTCAAGTACAACTGGTCTGGTGGAAGGCGAGCTCCGTCAATTGATTGTGAGTAGGTAAAACCAATATCAAATGAAAGAGTGACGTTGTGGTGGAAGCTTAGGGATGATGTAAACATAGAATTTCGTTGTGAATGGAGCATTTCACACCGATTGTGAAAAAGTATAAATTTTTGGTGCCATCTGTTCGAAGAAATTCCTATAAGTCCCCCCTCACATGCCCAACCCTCTTCCCACTCGCATACTCGCACGGCTAGCCCCCAGCCCTCCTGCCTCGCTCATTCGCACGCTCGCACACCTAGAGTCTCGCCAACTCGCACACCCACATGGGTTCCAAACATGACACGTGACCATTCGAGGCACTATTGAAACATGAATCTCTGTAAATGGTCCCTTGATCAAGATTGGATTTGGACCTTGAATCTTTGTAAAATCCCCCCCCCCCCCAGAAGTAGAACTTTCAAAGTGAAAGTTGAACTCACTACAAAAATGCCTTGGTGATGGAAGATTTTGGGCAAACCAGTCAATAAAAAAACTTTTTGTATAGTAGAACCCACTACAAAAAAACACATAAAATATTGATAGTAAGACAAAAGGATTAGGGTTTAAAAACAATGATGTTTTCTTCTATAGATTCGAGGTTTAAAAACCATAAAACACGTATACGTTGTGTTAAACATCGTTTTCATGAATGAAGCTAATAGGATCGCCCACCTACCTAATAGTTAACCATTGAGGGTTGATATTGTATTTACTTTTCAAGCGAATTCTGGTCCTACTTAACGAAAGGGCAAAAATGGCATTTCAATAAAATCGTTATGATTTAACGGTGGTGAAATTTTCAAAAATAGTAAGGGAGCTCTAAGGCAATTTATAAACAGTAAGGGTACAACTTGACAATTAGCTAAACAGTAAGGGTAGTTTAAGAAATTTGCCCGTTTTTTCTTGGTAATGGTCTTAAAAAGGTTCAAAATCGAAGATCAAGATCAAAAGATAACAAAAAACTTCCTACTAACACTTTGGATTAGGAATGGCAAACTACTTTACTTATAAATGAATGGTCCTATAAGAGTACAAGGGCTCCTTGTTCATGGATACTATCATTATCTAACTCATCAATCCTTTGGGTTTGTAATTATAATTTGCAAGTTCTATTAGGTTTGTATGATATCGGAAAGATATCATATCCGAAAAATTTATGACCAAATCAATTGGTATGTATCATAGAGGTTAACTGGATAGTATTTATCATAATTCATGGTTGGGCTTTGATTGGTCAAAGCCCTTCAGTACAGTGATAGTACAATGGCTTTTCGGTGTTATAGATTTTTCCTTTTTTAGAGGGTGTTCGGTAGTGTGAAAATATTGTGGACAAGACTATTTTGGTCCTATCCACGATAGAATGTGGTGTTTTGTTTTCTCGTGGATGGGCCACACTATGATGTGCACAATTTGTAGGAAGGATTCAGTGTTTAAAACTAGTCCAACTACCCTCATTTTATTTAATATTTTAATATATTTTAATTTATATTGAAATTATTTTTTAAATTGTTTATTGATAAAGATAATATTATAATGATAAATATTTTTATTTTTATATTTATTATTAATTATGTATTAGTGTTTTATATTGTCCATTATTATTATAAATTATTTTTGGCTTAAATTAGGCTTTTTCATTCATGATCATATGGGTGCAAATGGATCAGATCATCCAATCCGAGTCAAGTCCTATTTTTGTAAGATTTGGATAACCCTTTGTAGGATTTTTGGATCAAATCCAATTGGAATTTGGATCACCCCTATCTAATCTAACAATATCTGATCCGATCTGATCTATAAATGTACATATTTATATATGTTGCATTTTTGCAAATCTTTATAAAAAGACATGTACAAATTTATAACCTTTTTTCTTTTAATAATTTATTACTTTTTTTCATAATTTGAATCGGATTGTATTAGATTCATATATATGACAACCTTAACAGATTTGAATTTGAAACACCATTTGTGAGCTCCATCTGATTGGATCTTGTATCCTGTTATCGGATTAGATTCGGATATACCTTGATTCAAATCCGATCCGATCTGTTTGCATATCTACATCATCGATTATGTAAAATACCTCACAAGTTGTAAATGAGATGTATGGAATCAATATGTATGGTGTGGACAAATCCACACTACACCTACAAAAGGCTCCTATGGGTATAGAAAGTTTCTGTTCACATAGTTCTGTTCATAATTCAAAATAGGTGCAATTGTGTGAATAGTAATGTGGTATGGATTGATCCCTGCCATAGAGTATGGTGTGAAGCAGCCCACATCCACCAATTTTTCATCCACATTACAAAACACCCCCTTATTTGTTAAAAAACTTGCATTTTATTTGTCTCCTTTATAATTGTATTTTGAACTACTTGGTTGGTAAAGTACTAAGGTCTCTAGGGATTGAATCCTACCTACACCATGGTAGAGGGGTTATGGGTTTGGGAGATGGTCTATATCCCCTAGTCGTGTAAGCCCATGGAACYAAAAATAGTTAAGAGGCTCTCTTGCTGTAGATTAAATGTTGTCTTGTCAATTGAAAAAGAAAATTTATGTTTTTCCTCCCTGTACCTTCAAAAGTGGCAACATTTCCTAACTCGTAGTGTTTAACGTGTCCCTGGGTTCAAAAACATATATATACATATATATATATACATATATATGGTATGATACTTTGAACATTGCTTAGCCTGTGTTCGGAACGAGTATAAACGCAAAAATGATCCTACAAATACAAATACGTCAAGTTCAGAAAAATGAATAGTTTAGTTTTGTATTGATAATTTTGTATGCTTACCACTTTTTTTAATGCATATTCTTACCACATGAATTTTAAAGTTTGATAAATATAAACATGAATCCCAAGACTGGAATCGACCTTTTTATTTCATTGAACATGATATGCTTTCAAATTTTTGCTCTTTTGAATGCACGCATGTTCTAGAATCTGTTTTTGCTGTCATTATCCACACAAAAATGCATTCTTCCCAAACACTTGTACTTGCAAACTGAACAAGAGTGCATGCATGCACCCAACCAGAGCATTAACGCTCTTCCCAAACACAAGCACTCCCATCTCCGATGTGATGAATCATGAACCCAACAAATGAAACCAAAACGAGTCTTGATTAGGTTTCTGTTAGGTTTCACGAAAATGGATCTTGCAATTTGAAGATGGGCTACTAAAAGGTGAAGGGGAATGTTGCACCACAGTACAGAGGAATACATGAAACGAAGAGTAATAAAGATCAACTCAACTCAACTCGGAGTCTTGGACAAGCCCAACGCTCACTACTTGATTGAAATATCGATGAAAAGCGTTAACACAAACTGAATTGAATCAGATATCATATGATTCCCTTACCACCTAATCATAAACTCGTCACAATCCCAATAAATATGAATGGAATTTGAGCAGACATTCAGGGAGATGCTTGCGCTCACATACCACTGTTTATAATTTTTATATGCAATTGTAATCCATGCAGAAGTTTTGCAAAGACCAAAGAGTATGAAGTACCAAATAACATTCTTTTTTTGACTCGGGGGATGAGCTTTTTTTTTCTCCTTTTGGTAGAAGGGGATGAGCAGATGGATAACAATATTATTACAACTATCCAAGTCTCAGACATATTGACAATTTCCTAAAGTGAGATTTCTTTCTTGGAGTCTACAACACAATATAATGGCCGTACCTGTAATCAAAGATGACTGGAAATGATCTTAAAGAAGAACGTCACTGAGATTGGGTGGTGCTGAAAATCTGGGGACGGATATTGGCATATACAGAGGAAAGATAACATACGCTCAAAACTAAACAGAAACAGCACGCGGGAATTTTCCCTTTGTGTAAAAAGTGATCTCTTCTTACTTGTCAGATGGATCACTCCCTTACTTCCTCTTTTCTGTGCCAATTGACAAAAGCTCAAAGCTCCGGAAAGTGTCATCACGAGCACCTCTTGTGACTGCAGCACGGGAGAGGGATGATGATTTGGACTCGTATCCAGGCTGGATTCTCTGAGTCGTAGATAGGCGGCCACTCCCTGAAACCAACCGGCTTGACCGACTCTCACTTGGTTCACCAGAGGAGCTTGGCCTGCTGCTTGAGACGACAGCCCTCTTTGAGCTGCCATTTCTAGAGGATGGACGCCCTCTTTCTGAATCCGCTTGCTGTCAACAAAAGCAAAACATGTCATTAACTGAACACAAAAGAATACTGATAAAAAAAGTTGAACACAAGCATGGTTTGAGAACTTAGAGGGACTCAAAAGAAGCGTCTTAGCATTCTACATGACAAGTGGAAATAATGCCACATTTATAACTCTATCTGTCAAGTGCTGACATGTTTAACACTTTAATTAAGTACAATATACTTGTAACTATAACGTTCACCTCTACAAAGACCAGGAAAACAAAAGAAAAGCAACCAATCCAAACTATGGCTGTAATATAAATGGCAAAAAAGAAGATACAATGACTCGACATGCATGCATGAGTCACCCTCCTCAATGGCTATAATGCAATCATCTGTAAAAACCTTATCCATATGAAACAAGCCTTTAACTAAATGATGCAGTCATGCAGGAGCTGAAGAGTCAAAAATTGTACGCTTCTCAAAATTTGTGTTTCTGTATTTTTGGACAGTAGGGCTTGTCATTTTACAATTATTCTGTGGGGTCCAATGATAGTCTGGTTTGCCTAGTTATGGTTTGTTTATGTTTAAAGTTTTAGTCATTGAATAAGCAGAATATGAGTTACTGAGCCTTCTTTGAATTGAAATAGGATGGTAGAGTTTTATTTTTGAGTCCTATGATTCTTATGGAAGTTCGAGACCAAGGATTATTAGAGTCTATAAATATGTATGGATGTTCTACCCAAGATTATTGAACTTAATTGAGATTTTTTGAGCTTATGCTAATTGGTGAGTGATTCCCATGCCTTAAGGTGATTCTAAAGTACCCCATGAATGATTTTGGGTATTCTCTCTGTTCTTTCACTCTATTTTCTTTCTTATTCTCTCAAGAATCCATCACTGCCATCATCAAGAAGATAATTCAACATTTTCAAAGGCCAAAGGGATGGAATTGTGCTGGTCGTACATAACTAATACATACAAAGATTCAAAATATCGCAAGCGGTGCATATCGTATGATATGTATCGGTTTTTGAACCCACTAATGTTCAATATAAGGAGTTCTGGGGTTTCATGGGTTGACCTGTTCAGCCTGGACAGTTGAAGTCACCAGTCACCCGTTACCCAGACAGAAAACCAGATCGACCTCTGGTTCAATTTTAAAGCACTAATACTAACTTCATCTAGTATCACTAATGTAATTAAATGGTTTCATCCTTACAATTAAGGATTAAAGTATCAAATAAGAATCTATGATAGAGCCCATAGTTTGGGGGTTATTGGCACAAGGCATAGCGGGAAGGCAACATTCAATAAACTTGCCAAGGTAGTGTATTTAACTACTGATAAATTCAGTGCTCTACTTCTTAAATAGGCTATTTACCCCTGTATCTAATTCCTGTTGAACACTTATTTCATATTTATTCATGTACTTAACTCCTGCTAAATAGGGTCTTTGATATTTAAGTTCCAACTCCTGGTGGAACCCTATCTAATTCTTATTACATTTGAACCCAGAAAACTTGCACATGGCTATGAACCATGGTGTTGGGGGTAAGAATCCCACCTTGCTCACAACCAGCCAAGGGAAGGACCTTTCCTTTACCTCAGGGGGTAGGAAAATCATAGTCAGTTTTTTGAAATGAATGTAGTGTTGGAGCTTGAGAGAATTAATGTGAATTCTGTTGGCAAGAATGCTAGGAAGAATCCGTTAGAACGCTAGCACTAAGGAGACTTAAAAGTCAGAGAAAAGGTAGAAACATTCTGGTCTCCAAAGTTTTTACTTAGATGAAAGGGGTCTATTTGGGATTGGRCCAAACAAGAAGGTGATGAAATCGAAGAAAGTCTTGAAGAAGAAATGGAGTTTTCTATAATCAGGATTAGTTCTTCCTGTAGTTTTGGCTTTCTTCTTTGGGGAGTGGTGTTACATGTTGAATTTGGATGGGTTGTTGTGTTTGGTAGAGAAGGTGACTTGCTGGGTCGTCTTCCATCAGTTGGAATGTTGGCTGTTTGGATTGTAGTTTATCTTTTATGAGTTTGGAGTTTGGATGGAAGGGTTTTTGCATTTCTTCATTTCAGTGATCTCTGGTAACTTTCCTTGTATTTTTTTCTTTTATTTAAATAAAGCTTTATTTATTTTATTCCCAAAAAATGATCAGAATAGTGGCCCACCAAAAATATGATGAGGATTGCGGCCCCAAAGCTATGGAGCTTGGGTGTGGGTCTTTTGTTGAAATGGAACCTTTCTTCTTCTTTTTCTTTTATTATTTATCATGAATACATTCACCATTCCATTTAGTATGCCTGGATTGAATCAGCATATTTGTGTTTTACTAACCAGGCTTGGGTATAACAGCAGAGCAAGTATTAGAAACATAGCAAAAATGTTGTTAAAATAGTATGAATTTTAAGTTTATCCCTTAAACCACATCTATTAAATTATTTTACAATTTCCGAATGTTTTTTTTTTATCAATAATACTTTCATTAAATCATCAATAGAAGATTTACAAGAGCAACAGAGGACCTCAAGAAAAGGAAAAAACACTAAAGTTACAGCTTAGCCCAAAACAGTGAATCCCTTTCTGCCCCTTGTTTAGCTAAACCATCAGCTAGGGAATTAGCCAATCTTTTAACCCGACATATCTTAACTTCCATCTCCCGCACCAGTCACTTAAATTTCCTCCTCTCATTATTGTACTTCCATAAGCCATTGTTATCTTTATTCAGCCACCCTATCACCACCTCTGAATCCCCTTCAATTATGAGTTTCCTGATGTTCAACTCCTTAGTTTTTTGGACTCCTTCCATAACTGCAAAGATCTCAGCTCTAAAGGAGTCACCCACTCCAACTGGGCCTGAGAACATGGCAGAAATGACCCCATTCTCATCCCTAAAAACACCCCCAATCCCCGATTGTCCCGGATTTCCCCTACTACACCCATCAAAGTTTAATTTCAAGAATCCAACAGGTGGAGGGGTCCAAGACACTCTCATTACTGACTTGGTCTGTGTGCAATTTGCAATTTCACCCCACTTCCTCAGCATGTCATCCACAATGTAATCTGTGAATAGCTCCAAAGATTTCAGCCATTGTACAGCCCTAATATGTATGATAGCCCTCAGATCTGCTGCTCCTCTCTCAGCTTCTGAGAATATCCTGAAATTTCTTTCTTCCCAAAGTGTCCAACATACTGCAGCCCTTAGTCCTCTCCACATAGTCCTTCCCTTTTTTATTTGCCACCTGAAAAAAGAAGAGGAAAAAAGGCCCTGCAATTCTGATGGAGGATTCCAGCTACATCCAAATAGGGAGAAAGCCCAATCCCAAATTGACCTCGCAAGATGGCAAAACACCAGTAGGTGAAAACCAGTCTCTCCATCCGCTTTACAAAGAACACACCAATGAGGTGACAAACAAGTATTGGGTCTCTTCTTTTGGAGTAGATCACCAGTGTTGATTCTTTCCAGGTAGGCTTCCCAACAAAAACTACCAACCCTAGAAGGTATTGCTCTGCACCAAACCTCATCAACAGGGAAAGGGGGTAAAGTAGGACTGGTGGATTGACTTAAGACTCTAAAGAAGGAAGCACAAGATAAGATGCCATTGGGGGTAGTAGGTGTCCAAATTCTAGAATCCGCCCTAGTGGGTCTAAGACAACGTTATCAAGAAGTGCAATAGGGCTCAAAATACTGTCGAAGTCCGAGTCCCTCAAATCCCTTCTTAGACCCAAGTTCCACCCAATCCCAGAAGTGGAAGAGGACGGGGTGGTGAAAGATGAGATTGGCTCATTTTTCAAATCAGATAGAGCATACAAAGAAGGAAACTGATCCTTTGGAGGGGCACTTCCCACCCAGGTTTGTTCCCAAAATTTTATGGAGTTACTGGAATTCAAATCATACCTGATATTAGGGGAGAAAACTGATAACAGGTCATGAATGGCTTTCCAAGGAGAATTGCTTGTGATCCTACCTCTGATTCCAGTGTCCCATCCATTGTGCTCCAGCCCATGTATACTTGCCACTACTCTAGCCCATAGCTTCTCCTTCTCCATAGAAAACCTCCACAACCACTTTCCCAAAAGAGCCATATTCCTTCTCCTAATATTCCCAAGCCCTAAACCACCACAAGTCATACTCTTACACACTATCTCCCAAGTAACTCTATGATCCCTCTTCTCCTCTCCCGGCTCCCACAGGAAATCCCTCATTAGCTTCTCCAATGTTACAATTTTTGAATGTTACACAAGGTATCCCAGTAGTTTGTAGTTCAAATAAATATTAAAATGTTCTCCTATGTGCCCAAACTTTATTTGTTGGCATTTGAGCTTAAGATTTAGTTTTATTTATTTTTTAATCAACTATAAATTTTATTGATTGATTAACTGCTGACGTACATGGCAGATGTGTGATGATCAGCCTCAGTTAAACCATAATTTTGGATTTATAGTATTAAATAATTCCTCTATGTTGCACAAATTCCCCAAAACTTCTGATTCCTTGCCACCCCCTGCTTTAGATTAAGTTATATTAATACTTATGTGGTATTAGGATTTATATGAACTTCCCTAGCATATTATTGCATATCCTAATCATTCCACCATATCCAAGTGTATCCTGCCACATTTCTTAAAATTGGTTTTCCAATACTACGCTTAATACTGATTTTATTGCAAACTCAGTAGTTCAACAATTTATTTATGAAATGAGTACAATATTTTAATTTGCATCAGCATAACTTTATGTTAGCATAATTGGATCTGGACTTTATACTAAAAATATATCTGACACAACAGGACACCCTTTTATAAGTATTTGGATATCATATACACTAACTTTATCTTCGAATATAGTTAATGTAATTAAATAATCATCCCCACAACAAAAGTGTCAAATAATTTGAAACAAGCTACCAGTGGAGATTAAGAGGGATAGGGGAGAGAAAAGACAGAGAGACGATAATTCAAAGCATCTCTGGAATTATTGCCATTTTCTCAGCACCTATAGGCTGGGGGGATTCATTGAGAGCTGAAATTTTGGCAGCTCTGAAAGGGATCAAAAGAGCCCAGCAGTTGAAAATCAGAAATCTGTTGGTGGAAGGAGACTCTAGGCTGACAGTTAGCTGGTTGCAGGAGGAAGATTCTAGTCTGTGGAAGTTCTCAAAATGAAAAAAAAAAAGAAAGAAAACCAACCAGATTACTCGAAACATGTAAATTCAGGTTCAGTGGGCCAAGAGGTGTGCCAATTCTCTGGCAGACTCTTTGGCCAAACAAGGGGTGGGAAGAGCAAATCTCTTTTAGACTGTGTTGTAATCTGACCTTTAATGTTAGGGGGGGTTAAGTGTTTTTACCCCTCCCTTCATATTGTATTTTTCTAGAATATTTTTTCTTAATAAAAGTTACTGTTATTGATAAAAAAAAAGCATCTCTGCTTTATTTAAATAATGATTAGAAAAACCTACAATACTAGAGATTATCTGGAAGTTAACAGCTCAATGATTTTTTTTGATGAATTACAGCTCAATGATTTTTTTTTGAAATTAATAAATAAAGGCCAACTAACTTGAAAGTTGAAAGGCCAAAGTCTGCAACAACTAACTTGAAAGGCCAAAATTAATAAATCTCACCCAGAACTTGATTAGAAGTCAATGAATCTGGATCTTTGGTGGACGAATAAAGGAATTTTTTTGATAGATGATGAATAAAGGATTTCATCCCATTCCTTATCTTGGACCATGGACTTAACCGGTAAAACAAGCTTTCTTAATATAAGAGAAGCATAAATAAAGGGTTCGACTATGATACCAGAAACACTTACAGCCAATCAACTGGTATCATAAAAGAGGTGACCAATCAGATACCATGTCTTCCCTGTATCATAGATTTTCCCATAAATAAAACAGGTTTGACTATGATATGGAAAAGATTTGGTATCTGAAATATTTTTGACCAATCAATTGGAATCATAAATGTGGTAGCCAATCAGGTGTTATTTATCAAATTCATGGGTGGGTTTTGATTGGTCAAAACTCTTTAGATACCATATCTTTCCCGCATCATAGATTTTCCCAAATAAAACAAGGTAATTTTTGCTTGTCAGATCCTCATCATTTTTATTTTTGTGACTAGGGCAATAAAGAGCTACAAGAAGAATCACCAGATAAAAAACAAGCTACATTTCTGCAGCACAAATTATAGAAGATTTGCTTTTCTTGTCATTACAAGAAAAAGCAGCTGAATTTAAATCACCATGACTCAGATCCAAACAAAAGGAGCAGCAGGAAAACTCAACAAAAGAAATGAATAGATTTCTGTTGAAACAACTTACAACATCCTTGGGTGAAGATGCATCCTCTGGCATCTTGTGTTTGGAGTGATCCCCATGCAGACCAGTAACAGAACTGTTTCTTCTAGCAAATGCTTCAACTGCACCTGAGAATCTATCTCGAATTTCTTGTCCCACTATAAGAAAGTAAATAGTAGATAATTAAGCACTGACAAGGTTAGATATGAAATAAAACAAATTGTTTCCAGAAGTGTTAATAAAAAAAATGAAGTGTAGTCTTCTTAAACCATCTTGTACTTGAATATTTACATTCACGAGATGGATAATTCATTCAAGTGCTTGAAGGGCATGGGGAGTCAGGGCTGTCCCTGTTATGTGCATCATGGTTGCAGGACTTGTTGGGACCAAGTATGACACAAGCATTTCCAAATCTGAGCCAAAATGGGTACTCTGCAACTGAAAATGTGTGTGGAAATATAATACAATCTAAATTCTACTGTTTACAAATCAAAATTAGGAAGAAAATGGATTCACTTGTAACACTATTGGATGTTCACTGGTTAACTGCCAATAGGTCTAAATTTGGAGCCCATAACAGAAAACAGATGAGTTTTAAATCAATATGCACATGTTAACGATCAGGTCCAATGCATGTGGATCTAGACCCCCTACCAAATAGGTATGTTGGGTACACCATTGATAACACTTCCACTTGAAAGTTCCAAAGTAAAATGTAGTAAATTTCTTGAATTGTGAATATATATTTAAAGAGTTTTAGCTTTAACAATGAGGGTAGAAACCTCATTCTTATCAGGAAGGAATACAGACCTGAAGTCCTCTCTGGTCTTTCTACAGAGGGCCCTGCATTTAGGGCTGGTTTTACACTGGATTGCTGAAAAGATACACCAGAAGTAAGAAACACCCAAGGAAGTCTAAAATTCACACAGCATAATTTAGAGACACTCACCCGTGTTCTGGGATTTGCACCTATCTGTGGATACTTCAAAATGGTCCAGTCAAATACATAGTCAAACTGATAGCCTGAAACAGATATATCAATACTCAGATACAATTATAGAGTAGAGCAACTCAAACAAACCTACATCACTCACTGATGTTAAAAACTTAACAATTTGAAGCACTAAAAATGAATGCTGAGGAGACAACACAAGATTTTGTTAAGAACATAAACTTGACGTTTCACCTTCTCGAATAAATAAGTCCCGGAAAAGCCTCTTCAGATAAGAATAATCTGGTTTGTCTTCAAACCGCAATGATCGACAATAGTGGAAATATGATAAGAATTCCGAGGGATATGATTTGCAAAGCACCTGGAGAATAATACCAACATTTCAAGCAAATCTAGTTAATATATTATTATAAGGGATAAGCTCAGAATCAGGACACAGGACCACATTCTATTCGCTAAAATTCTTCAAATTGCTTCAATTTTAGCAATCTGTAGTTTCCAATGGGAGATACCTCTATGGGAGTTAGCATTTTCTTTTCACTGATCTTATCATACTTTTGCTTTTTAGTGCCAGCTTTCAACCCCTGCCAGGGAAGGCTGATGTACAGCAACATACAGTTAAAAAGAATGAGGAATGAGAAATAAATAACTCAGATTTCAGTAGAAAAAGCAGAAAAAAGAAAAGGCACAAGAAAGGCAAGAATGTCTCATTTTTAACCTTCCCCTTAAGAAGTACATAAGCACATAGCCAAGAGACTCCAGATCATCTCTCCTGCTTTGTTCTGCAAGGGGAAAAAACAAAAAAAAAGGATTGACTAATCTGGATTCTACCACCTATGATACCCAGATACCTATACATGCCTAGCGTAACGGGTGCCGGATACAATACCAGATATTGCAGAGATACTTCTAGATGTGCTCTATAACATTAACACTATTAAAATATATAGATTGATGTTTTTAACCAAATTACACCATAAAAGAAGTTTCGCACATTTTAGAACTTTAATTAAAATTGGCAAGGCAAAGTCTTCAGAAATGACATTAGCTTCAAAAACTAGATAAGATGCATGATATTAGCATATCACATGGGATACCCATAACCATCTGAGTCTAGAATTTTGGGAAATGGAGACTGGAGAGTCATATCCCTGTTTCTGTTTCTCGTGTCCATATCTGTATCTGGGCATCATAGTCAACTACTATACACAAGTGAAGATATATTTGCATTTAATAATTGACAAGTATCTAATATATCATTTTTACTCACCAACTCCAAGATGCGTGTTAACACTTGCATATCGAGCTGTTCCTGTGAGATTCTTATTTTCTCTGCAAGGGGAGTCTTGATGAGCTACTTGGGAAGTAATCAAAGGGAAAGGATATGCCAAGAAGAGAGGAAATCAAACTCACAATCATGTAAACAAAAAGGCAGAAATACCCAACAATGCAAAAAATGATATCTATGTAACAACTATGATTATTACCTTAATCTAAAACCTGAAAGCTAAAACCTTAAACAATCTTTACCAACTATTTATATGTGGGTTCTATGATCAGTTTAATTTCCAAACCCTAATATGCAAATTTAGCAAAGGTACATAACTTATTCAAAACACCACCGCATTCTGTATTATATTCCATGGATGTGAGAATAAATTAACGTCAGAATCCATGCACCAAATCAATCAGAAGACCAAGAACCAAAAGATTGATCAAACATTCACTTTCCATATTGGGACCACATAAATGCATAACTGAGCTCTATACTAATACAATTAACCTTACTTCCAGAGATAAAAAAAGTCTTCTACTTTACATTTATAACAAGAATAATAGGTGATTAATACAAGTTTGTACATATTTTTTCTCTATTTTTTAGGAATCAAACAGCATGCGCTTTTAGCATCCTATAGCAGTAAAGGAAAAGAGGTGCACGAAATAAATCAATGGAAATGGAAACAACAAGAAGAAACTTCACATAATGTGAGAACTTAGAAGTGTATAACAAGTCCCCATAGAAAAGGAGAGGAAATGCCAAGAGAAATGGTGTGAATGGGTTTTGTTTTCTGTATATGGGAAGGGGAAGTGAATGGGTTTTGTTTTATGTATTAGGGGGACTGACTAGATTTGTTCTAAGGAAAATTGAGTTGGGGGTGAATCAGGGGCTTTGGGTGTCTCCTTTTGAGCTTTTCTTGTGGCTGGCTGTGAGAGTCTTCTTGGGTCTGGTTTGTGCCAGGTGGTTTTGTTAGTTTTTAGGGGTGGTTTGGTTGTTTGTTGGTGTTGAGTGATGCCTTATCACCTTTTTGTCATCCATTTTACTTTAGTTTAAAAAATTTTCTTCTTTATTTATCTTCAACAAAAAAAAAAACAAGTATAGCCAATCCCATATAGATGGGATAAGGCTTGGATGGTGATCTAGGCATCTACTTACAGGTCCATTCCATAATCCACCTACAACTTGATTCTGAGATCTTGGGCATTGAAGGCTGAGCTATTGAGATCTTGGGCATTGAAGGCTGAGCTATTGAAAGGCTGAGCTATTAAACTACCTTCCAATTGACTTGGAGGAATATGAAGATCCCATATAGAGCCATGGACCACACTAATACTAAGACAGACATTTGCACCTAACCTGGGCCACTGGCATTCCCCATTCTAATTCATTTTGTTGACACCTATCTAAGACTAGAGAATTGTAAGTGCTAAACTGTTAGCGGACCTAGGAATCCATCTGAGGCTTCTGAGCGAGCAGTTCAGATTGGAAGATATAGAAGTACTTTCCTAACCAAGTATCTTAAACCCCAAGGTCCTTCAGAATTTGAATGTATCCCCATCTTATAACCACTTGACATTCTCCTTCAACCACCATTCCATTCCAAACTATGCTATGCACCAATTTCAGCCCTCGTAAGAGAGCTAACAGGTCAGGTTTCACAGAATTATCAGTCTGAGATGGCTCCGACTCCAAATAACTCATTAAAACCATCTTATTATGCTTATATATATATAAAAAAATCATCTTATTATGCAATTTCCATCAAATTTAATTCAAAAGTTAAAACTACCAATTGCAGGTGCAGTCCAGGTTACTGCTATTACATTTCTTGGGGGAGAAAAGCTGGTCACAACATTCTAGCTTCTTAAGATTGAGTCCACTGTAAACCTTTTAAACACTTCTACAGTCTTCAACCAATGGATAGTCCTAATCACAAACAGGTTAATGAAGCTGTCTGTGTCGTGGACTTAATTTTCAAAATGTACTAGAGCTCCTCTAACACCAACCCTCCATAAAGATGCTGCCCCTGCACCAGGACACTGCTATTACCTTTCCAGGCTGAGAGTATCAAATGAGGTGGCTATGAAGGTTGAGAAGATTCAAAGAGAAATCTATTGGAAAGACGTGAGGGGGCCAAAAAGTATCACTTGGTTAAGTGGGAGAAGGTGTGCAAGCCCAAGGAGAGGGTGAGCTGGGGTTGAGAAGGGTTAAGTTAATAAGCAAATCACTTCTAGGGAAATGGTTGTGGAGGTTTGGGCTAGGCCACTAGGGAAGGGAGAGGGAGGCTTTATGGAGGAGAGTGGTAGTTGGGAAATATGGTGTTATAAGAGTCGGGTGGGAACCAAGGGAAGTGAGAAGTTCATACAGGGTGAGTGTTTGGAATGGAATGATAAGTTTCAATTAAGATTTCAGAAAATTGATTAAGTTTAAAGTGGGGGAAGGCTCTAGAGTGAGGTTTTGGGAAGATGAGTGGCTTGAAATAGGGTAGTTATGTGAGGTGTGCCCAAGATTATACAAGCTAACAGAACAAGTCTCAATAGCCCAGTGCTGCGAGTGGAGAGGGGAGCAACTGATCTGGAATCTAAAGTTCAGAAGGCATCTTCTAGATCAAGAAGTGGAATAGTGTATTATGCTGCTGGAAAAATTAGAAGGAACCAGCATTTCTAGAGATGTAGAAGATGGTCTTTGGTGGAAAGAACGTAAGGAAGGCAGATTTACAGTTAAGTCTTTTTTTTTTATAAGTAAAAAAGTGATACCTCTCGCTCCCATAGAGAGGTGCGAGATGCTGCCTCAAAAAACAAAGCAAAATTACAACTGAGCCCAGAATACTTGATCCCTATGCACCCCTTGTTTGGCAAGAAGATCTGCCATCCCATTAGCTGATCTCCTTTCCCACTGAACTCTTACTGTTAAATTGGATGTTAGCCACTTAAATTTTCTCATCGCCCCCCTATATGACCACGCTACAGTCCCTGGCTCTTTCAGCCATCCAATTACAAGTTTAGAGTCTCCTTCAATGACCAATCTTGTGAAGTTTAAATCTTTTGCTAGCTGTGCTCCTTGTAAGACTGTTTGGACCTTTGCATTAACTGCATCCCGCACTCATATTGGGCCAGAAAACAAGGCAACAACCTGACCCTCTGCATTCCTAAACACACCTCCAATACCGGAAGGCCTGAGATTGCCAAGACTGCTACCGTCAAAGTTTAGCTTGAAAAAACCTTCTTCAGGGGCCCTCCAAGCAACAACTGGTTTGTTCTTAACAGAAGATGATTTTGCAATTACTTCCCAGTTTCTCCACAAGTCAGCTAGAGAGAATTGTGCAAAGAGTTCTGATGCTTTAGCCCAATTAATGGCCCTGTTTAGAAAACAATCCCAAATAGAATCCTCATCCCTCTCTTTATCATTGAATTGAAGATCCTACTATTTCTTTCCTCCCAAACTGTCCAAACCAAAGCAGCCCTAATGCATCTCCATAAAACTCTCCCACTTCTCTTAGGCCACCAAAAGCTTGTAGGGTCAAAGAGTCCCTCAATTTGCAAGGGCATCGTCCACCTGCAACCATAGAGACCAAAAATCTCCCAATTAGGAGGTGGTGACAGCTTTCTCCATTAGCTTTACAAAGCATGCACCAACTGAGGGAAATACTAAGATTGGGTCTTTTCTTCTGTAGGACGTTCAAAGTGTTTATTTTCCAAAGAGAAACTTCACAACAAAGAGCTCCAACCTTGGGGGGAAGGGTTTAGACCAAACTTCATTACAAAACAAAGATTGAGGGTTGGGGGGGTAACACAACAGGGAGAAGAAGGAAGCACATGAAAAGATGCCCAAAGAGTTGGGAGTCCAAATTCTAGCATCTGGTTTGGAATGGTCTAAGAAAACCGGGTCAAGGGTTTTAAGAAGTAGAGCGGCTTGGTCTTTTTTTTGTAGAAAAAGTTCCCATTTGCTAGCAAAAAAGAAAGAGAAAAACAGAAATTAACACAACAGATCAAACAGAAAAAAAAAAAAACAAAAGAACAACTAAGAAACAGGCCAATCCAAGACTACCTCCCACCTTCTTCCTTCTCTTGCAGACTACCTCCCACCTTCTTCCTTCTCCCGGCTCCCATAAGAAATCCCTCATCATCTTTTCCACTTTCAGCACCTACCTTTGTAGCATCTTAAAGACTGAAAGGTAATAAACTGCCAGGTTTGCTAAAGTAGACTTTATCAAGGTAATATGACCCCCCAACGAAACATAGTTCCTCTTCAAGCTCACAATTTCCTAGTACAACTGTCAAGAATAGGGTTCCAAAAGTTTCCTTCCCTTGGGTTGGCTCCTAAGGGCAAGGCAAGCCTTGGTATTTTAGTGGCCATCTAGTGGTAGAACAACCTAAAGTCTCGGCAACCCTAGACACCTCCTCCTCTCCCAAGTTCATCCCCACCACGCAGCTCTTTCCAAAATTAATCTTCAACTTAGATATAAATTCAAACAATTTTAGCACCTGCTTCAAGTTCCTTGCTTTCTCAGGGTCTGCACCTTCACAAGAAATTATTGTATTGTCGGCAAACTGCAAATGTGTAATCATCGTACTTTCTCTCCCCACCCTCCAAGCTCTAAAAAGGCCCAACAAATCTGCTTTTGAGATAAGTTTACTAAAAACCTCAGCCATCAAAGCAAACAAGAATGGAGAAAGAGGGTCCCCTTGCCTCAATCTTCTGGTTGTAGCGAAGAAGTCTCTAACCACTCCATTAATTAAGACTGTCTAATGACAACTTTTCAAGCAACCTTCAATCCAACCACACCACCTTTCTTCAAACCCAAAATTTCTCAGGATGTCCAAAAGAAAAGACCAATCAACTATGTCAATTGTCATAGGCTTTCTCCAAGTCCAATTTACACACAAAGCGCTTCTCTCCCCTTTTCCTTAAATCCTCTACACAATCATTAGCTAACAAAATTTGGTCAGTGCTTTGTCTTCCCTGAATGAACACGCCTTGGGAGTGGTTGATTAAGTCGGGGAGGACCAAATTTAATCTTAAGGCCAAGATTTTGTAGATGCTATTCACTAGG